GTAGACATGATAATAAACATGCTACAATGACTGGTTTCCAAAAAGGAATTCCCAAATAAAAAATATCATTATTTTGCAAAATAGTCCAAAACTCGAAAATGTAACATATGAATTTTGACATTTAGGCTAAACCATGTTTTGAAACTTTGCACAATGATTTTGTAGACTTAATAAAATATGTATATGATTATTGTTAAGTCCAAAAACTAAGAAAATAATATTTTCACAAAATTGCATATTCTATGCAATATATACTAAAACACAATAATAAATATGAAACATGTGATTTCATATTTATAAACATGAAAACTCAAAAACACATGTATGTATATATATAACTATATATATGCATAGAAACGAAAACTTATGTATATATATATATATATATATATATATATATATATATATATATATATATATATATATATATATATATATATATATATATATATATATATATATATAAAGGGTAAACAATCTAAACTAGATAGTGGGCAATATAATCAACAAGCAATATACAAAGGCGATATAAGATATGAACATAAAAGTAAGTGCGCCAATGCAATCACAAACAAACAATATGATTACGGAGTTCGGTCCCCACGACCTACGTCTCCGCTCCTCACCTCGAGGAGATCTCCACTATCACAACCGGGTTTTCTACGTTCACCCGAACAACGTTTACACCTCACAATACAATCACTATGCAATCACACCTCACACACTAAGTGTTGGTCCTAGCCCGTGTCCTCCTCCTCAAGTGCTCGGTTACAACCTCTCCCTAGGCACGTCAACCGACGCCACTCCTCTTGGATTCGACCCCGTCTCTCACCACACACTTCTCTCGGTGTACAAGTGTATTACAAGTGAATCCTCACAATTAAGCACAATATAAATCAATTGATTGTTCTCTAAACAAGATGAGAACTCAATTAAGCTCACTCTCAATGTCACAAACCCACAACCCTAAATTATACTATGAATGTAAATACAATAAGCTCAATGGTTGTGTGTGTACAAAGAGATAAATAAAATCAATTAAACTAAACTCAATATAAATCTAGCTTATGGAAATTATAATCAAAATAATAAATTGCTAGATGAGTTTAGAAACACTTCTCTAAAGATGACAAGAGAGTGGGAGAAGAGTGAATGCTCAAACACCAAAGGATGATCTCCACTTGCTCTTGTGAA